CAAGTTGTGAAGGGTTTTAAAAGCCAAATAGAGGTGTTGATATTTGATCTTAGAGATAATAGGCAGGCACAGGAGTTTACTCTTTAGCATCTATTGGAGGTTAGATTGGAGTCAGGAAAGACAAGAGACAGGGAAACCAATTAGGAGGTTACTACGGAAGTCCAGCCAAGACGGAATGTTTTCTTTTGCTGTTTTTGACAGACAGACACAGAAACTCATGCTGCAGACCAGCCTGAGCTCACACTGGAATCTCTTCCTCTGGCTTCTATTTCAACCCCATTCCTCTCTCTCTCACATGCACAGACTCACTGCCCCTACCTTTACCCACAAACCACCAGGGCTCCTATACTCCTGACACTCCCACACATAATAAACTGACTGACTTTTATTCAGGCTGCTGCTCTCTTTCTTCCTCACGCTCGTGATAAAGTTATCTGCAATGAGGGACTGTCATTTTGACTGCAAAGCTGGCTGTCCATTTGTATTCCTTCCAAGCTCAGGGACTAGTTTCTTCCACCACGTCTCTAACATCAGCATCATTTTGGATGCATAGTTATTCTCCCTTTGTTCAGTGCACTCAGACTCTTAACTACTATAGGGAATGAGGTAAGAAGGAGTTAAAGCAGTGAGTCTGAGCTGAGGTTGAACAAATGGAGAACAGCAAAAGTTCTAAGGGCACCTGTCTGCTCATAGCCGGCAGTGATAGTCCAGACCTATTGAAGAAGTGTTAGAATTATTTCTAAGGATTATTGAGCTGTTGCAAGGGTACCATGAATTTGTAATTTGCTTGATTTCATGATTTTTCTCCATTGACATTAAGCAGCCCTGAGGCAGGAGAGATGTTAAATAGGGGTTACCTAGGGGTGATTGTCAGGTAGAATGTCAGGTGGTCAAAGAATTCTAGCTGGTAGGAATACTAAGGCCTGTTGAGGAGGCAGGGGAAGCCAGAGTTGGGTTGGGTTGGGAGGATGAGCTGTAGATCTAGGTCCCACTGTTTGCTAGAGGAAGGAGGGGAAGTGGTAGGGGAGAGGCTTAGTGTGAATGAGAAATTAGAGTAAGTAGGTGTCCTGACCAGACCACCTGCAAAACTTCATAAAAGCTGAACAGAATATTAAACATATTTGTAAAGGAGGAGTGAGAGGCTAGATATATAAGGGGAAAAATAACCTTAACTAGGAGTCAATGGAAGGAAAACTATGGCAAATCTGGACAGCATACTAAAAAGCAAAGACATCACCTTGCCAACAAAGGTCCATATAGTTAAAGCTGTGGTTTTTCCAGTAGCAATGTATGGCTGTGAGAGTTGGACTATAAGGAAAGCTCAGTGCACAGAATCAACACTTTTGAATTGTGCTGGAGAAGACTTTTGAGAGTCCCTTGGACAGCAAGGAGATTAAATCGGTCAATACTTAAGGAAATTGATTCAGGCTATTCACTGGAGGGTTAAATACTGAAGCTGAAGCTTAAATACTTTGGCCATGTAATGGGAAGATGAGGCTCCTTGGAAAAGACCCTGATGTTGGGAAATATTGAAGGCAAAAGGAAAAGGGGATGGCAGAGGATGAGATGGAAACAATGAACATGATCTTGGACAGACTGAGAGATAGTGGAGGATTGAAGGCCCTGGTGTGCTGTGGTCCATAGGATCACAAAGAATCAGACCTGACAACAAAAAATGGGAGCTTTACAGAAAGTTCCCTCTCTTTAGCTTCCTAGAGACTAGAGGGACTTGAAACAGGGGTCAATGATGGAAGGCTTCCCAGAAAGCCAAACTTAGAGCGTAGAGTCTAAGAAGAAAGAAAGGAAGATAGAGTCATAGAACTTAGATTTTAGAGATCATCAAGTCCAATTGCCCTATTTTGCAGAGGAGGAAACTGAGACCCAGAGAGGTTCATGGACTTGGCCATGGTCACACAGGTAATGAGTAGCAGGAAAGAGCACTCTTTTCCCACCGCAACATCGGACAGATGGTTAAGAGATGGCTTGAGTTGGCTGGTAGCCAGTATTTGAGTGATTTATTTTCATAGCTCTGTGTCTGTAATAAATCCTTCCAGGATTCCCCAAGTCTTGTGGGAAAGTCAGAGAATGTTCTGGCTTGTCAAGTTTTTACGGAGTGCCCGCTACATACCCAAGGGCATGCTTCCTGGAGGAGAATCATAAGAAGGTCCCACCCTCCACAAGCTTGCTGCTGAGAGGGAAGCAGTATGGAATGATCAGAAAAATGATTAAGTTCTCAGCTCCAGGATAGTGCCTGTAAGTGTAATATAGAGAGAAAGCATTATGGGATGGAACATTTGGGAAGACCTCCTGGAGGAGATGGTACTTTGGAAAGAAGGCTTGAAGGAAAAGAAGGATTTAGGAAAACATAGATGAGGCACTGGGTAGGGATCACCATCAATGGTCAGGTAGCCAAGTCAGTCATTAAGCATTTATTAAGCACCTACTATGTGTTGGGCACCATGCTTGGTTTTTCTCCAAGATTACTTTGATATTCTTCCCCAAGATACACAAGGGGCCTTTCAGAAAGTCCAGAAGTCACATGAGGCACTATCTCAACACATGACCTCGGGCAAGTCAGTTGTCCTGAGCCCCAGTCTCCTTCTGTGCAATTTGAGTATTGGACTACATTATCTCTAAGGCCCTTTCCAGCCCTGATGTTCTGAGTTCTGTATCCTAAAGTCTCTCTAGTTGTGACACGGTGCTATGATCTGTGAGTGTCCTTTGGGTTCTATGACTTTAAATCCAGCATGAAAACTAGGAGTCATTAAGAGACAAGGAATTTCCCAGAGCTCTGTCTGTGTGTCTGTCTGTGTGTGCCTCCTGTCCATCTACAGGCTGACCTGTCTGTACAGATTCCTCTGGGTAACGAAGTCTGCTGTGCTCAACAGCCTCCTCACACTTTGCCCTGAAAAGTTTAAATCAGAGCAGATTTGGAGAAAACAACTTAATCTGAATAACAAGCCAGATGGGGTCCTCCCCCCTCCCTTGGGAGCCTGCCTCTTCCCCCGGCCCCACATTCCCCAGCAATTAGCACAGTGACAATTATTGCACAGAATAGAATCTACCAAATTGGTATTTCAGGACAGCCTTGGCTCTGGGGAAAGCAGGGAGACTATTTGTGGTTTGAGGCCTGTAGACTTAGCACCTGCTAAGAGCTAGCTATACAAACATCTTGAGCAGAGTTCTCTTCTGTACAATGTCCGAGCTGAAAGGAACCTTAAAGCATGGAATGTCAAATCCAGAAGGCACTTAGAATCAGAGAACACAGAAAGGTCCCAGGGGCCTTATAGGACAGACTATGAGAGCTGGAAGAGGCTTTAGGATCCCAGAACATAGAATGTCAGAGCTGGAAAGGGCCTGAGAATCCTAGAATATGGGATGTCAGAATCAGAGTCAACAATGAAATCATTCCCAACAGCCCTTATCACGTCCCCAGGTATGTGATCCCTTTTGGGGAACCTGAAAGAGGTCATGGTCTCTGGCCTTCGTGAGTTTGAAATCTAGTTGGAAAGATGATGGGAACAAGAGAATCGTAGAACTTGGATTCATAGAACATAGAATGTCAGAGAAAGATCTTAGAGGTCATTTGGCTTGATTCTCTCCCATTACAGATGAAGAAACTAAACCCAGCAATGTTGAGTCTACCACATTCACAGCCTAGGAGCCAATCAGTTGCCATGTCATGACAATTCTACCTCCTCAATAACTCGCACATCCACCCCTTTCTCTCCACTCACATAAAAATCACCCTAGTTTCAGGTCCTCACTACCTCTTGCCTAGAGTATCACAATAGCCCCCTAATTAGTCTCCCTGAATCCTATCTGTTCCCTTGTTTATCTGTCTTCCATGCAGCAGCCAAATCAATATGCTTAAAATAAAGTTTGAGTATGTCACTCCCCTGCTCTGGAAGCTTCAGTGGCTCCCCATTGTTTTTAGGATAAAATACTCTATTTGATATGTAAAGCCTTTCACAATCTGGTTCCAGACTGTCTTTCTAGGCTGGTTTTTTTTACCACACCATCCCTCACCCCCCAACTCCTTCCACATTGCAACCAAATTGGACCAGTCACACATGACGGTCAATTTCCCAACTCCGTACTTTTGTACGGGACAGGGAGTCCCTTAGGCTCATTTAATTAAACAAATATTTATTATGCTTATGCACAGGAGACTGTGCTTGGCCACTGGGGGAGATACACAGTTACAATCATGTAGGCTCCTTGGCCATAGAGCTCACAGTTTGATGGTGGAGTGGGGGAGGAATGTGACATATGCACATATCTATGATACCAAATAATAGTGAGTGCACAAGAATGGTACAGAATGTTGGGTGATGTTGTAAACTGGAAATGATCATTATTGACAGGGGAATCAGGGAAGGCTTCTTGGAGGAGGAGGCAATTGAATTGGGCTTTAAAGGATAGGTAGGAATTCATCAGGTGAGAGGGAGAAAGTATAGGGAAACTTGTGAGCAAAGACATAGAATGGGGAGTGTGTAGAGTGGGCTCTGAGGGCAAAGAGTAGTCCAGTTGAGAGCATAGATTGCATGGAGGGTAATAATATGAAATGATGATATAAAACTTAGGGTGGTACCAGATAGTGGATGGCCTTGCATGCCAAGGAAGGGGTCTGAATTTGATTAGTTAGATAAGAGGGTTACTTACTCAAACCTTACTCAAGGTTTAAGGCAGAGCAGTGAAATGACCATCCCTATATGTAAGGAGCAGAACTGAACTTACTTAAAGTTTGACTCTTATATCAGGGTCAACCATGACCCTACATGAAGGGCCTGGGTATACTTTTGGTGTTTCATACTCCTTTGACTCATTGCCTCCACTTAGATAAACTGAGATCATCAGCATCCGACATTTCCTCCCCTGGGGGGCAGTCACTTATTCCTTTTATAAGCACCAGGGCTCACAAGGCTCAAAATACATTAATTGATTACGGAATAGTGGAGAGGAGCATGCTGGGCACAGGAAGGCTGCAACCGATTAGCAGTGATGAATTGCTCAGTAGCAGTGGCATATAAAGGATGTCATCTGGGAGCTGTAGGACTAGAAAATGAAGCAAATATAAGTGTGGAGTGAGAGTGATGGATAATTGACGGACAGCTTAAACGCTCCATTGCTATCCATAGACAGAAGGAAACTGGCATTTATTAAGCACCTATTATGAGCCAGGCACTATGGTAAGTGCTGTACCAATATTACCTTATTTGATCCTCACAACAACTCTGGTAATCAGGTGCTATTATCCTCATTTTACAGTTGAGGAAACTGAGGCAGATGGAGGTTAAATGTCTAAACTAATAAATGTCAGAGGCCAGATTGTAATCCAAGTCTCCCTGGCATTACTGTACCATATAGTAGCCCATAAATGTTGAGCAGTTTGAAAGAAGGTGGACCCCACTGTGGAAGATGGATGGGAGGACACGGAGAGTCACACAGGATGGGTTGCAATTTGCACTGTTGGAGGGTACGTACCATTGTATGGCTCTGAGATCACAGATCAAGTATTGAAGCAAGTAAGGCCTTTGTCACCACCATAGCAGAGGCCTGTACTGTTTTAGTCCCTTAACTTCCTCTAGGCTTCAGCAGGGGACAATCAGGAAATTGTTCCATCATGTTTTTACATCCTCTTTTTTACTTTTCTGGCAGCTCTCCCGGAGATGACAGTTTAGTGCTCATTGACTGACTATTATAAGGTAGGCCAGATATAGGCCAGTCCAGTGGTTTAGGTTCAGGATTGGAATGAAATGAGACTCTTGTAGATCATTTAGCAGCAAACAAAAGATGTGCGTTACTGTGGCATGGAAAAAGTATCCAGCAAAGATCAAGCATTGATGCAGATGGGCGTAGCTTTCTTGCTTCTGTAACTGCTATGGTGGTATCCTGGTGTCAAGCCTGAAGAAGGAAGTCCGAATTCCTCATGGACTGTCTTTTGTACTTAAACCACTAGGAATCCCTGTCAATGATCCCTGTCAATGGTGAAATCTTTAGTTCAGTAGAGTGCTGGACCTGGAGTCAGGAAGACCTGAATTCAAGTCAGCCTCAGATATTCACTAGCTGGGTAACTCTGGGCAAGTCACTTAACCTTTCTCTGCCTCAGTTTCCTCATCTGTAAAATGGAGAAGATAATAGCACCTACTTTGCAGGTTTGTGTGAGGATCAAATGAGGTATTTGTAAAGTGCTTTGCAAACCTAAAAGTTAGATAAATGTTAGCCATTGTTAACTATTCCCTAAACAATTTTTTAAAAATTCAATTTTATTTTCAGCTTTGATTTTTCTTCCTCCTGTTTCTCTTCCCCTCTCCCATTGAAAACAGTTAAGTCTTGAGGACAGTTTCAATATCTTTTAAGGAGAAACTGGCTTACCCTGTGTTGGGCAGCTGTGGCTCCTACCACATGCCATCTCTTGGTGGCAAGGTCCTAAAGGACGAGGACTTCTATCACTTAAAAAGCTGCAGGGATGTTACTAGACAATCATGATCTCAAGGATGAAGAGGTGAAGCCTGGAAAATAAAAACTAGAACAATAAAGATAGCAAAAGTGACAATAAGCATTGTAACAACTCCCTGAAGGAGTGACAGAATGTGAAGGAGAATGAATTCCAGAAATCCCAGGATTTTCATTCCCCCTTTTTTTTTTGGCTAGGCAATGGGGTTAAGTGACTTGCCCAGGGTCACATCAGTGAGCATCAGGGCCACAGTATAGATGATGACATTTCTGGCATAGTCACCAATTTTCATTAAGAGTTATGTTCAGGGGCAGCTAGGTGGTGCAGTGAATAGAGCACCGGCCCTAGATTCAGGAGAACCTGAGTTCAAATCCAGCCTCAGACACATAACACTTACTAGCTGTGTGACCCTGGGCAAGTCACTTAACCCCATTGCCTAGCCCCCCCCCCAAAAAAAAGTCACCTAATCAAGAGTCATGTTCATCTGTAGCGAGGTAGTAAGGTAGCTAAGAAATAATTGCCTTCCTGTGCCAAGGTCAATACCAAGAATTACTCTGTACTACCACCCACTCAGTCTTCCCCAGCCCACCAGCCAGGACCTCCCCATCTGACAGCCCCACCAGTGGACAAAATACCTAATCTTTGTTTCTTTAGAGATCTCTGCTGAGAGGCTAACCCATTTATTCTGTGAAGGCTGGGTTGAAAGTTTTACTTACCACCAGTTACCAAAAAAGCAAGGTATCAGAGAACACCTCTAACCCTTGATTCTCCAGGCTTTTTCTGAGAAGTCATCTGGTATGGGAATGGAGTGAACCACTGACTCCATCTTGTGACTCAATTCTGTATCTATTCAATTATGGATCTAGTCCAATTTCTGCCTTGTAAGAAAACTATTCAATTATAGGAATTGTGAGAAAAACTTTATTAGGGGCAGCTAGGTGGCACAGTGGCTAGAGTACCTGCCCTGAAGTCAGGAGGACCTGAGTTCAAATATGACCTCGGACCAAACACTTAACACTTACTAGCTGTGTGACCTTGGGCAAGTCACTTAACCCCAATTGCCTTAAAAAAAAAGAGAGAGAGAAAAACTTTATTACATTGTTTGAACCTAGTCCTGCTTGGCTGGGAAGCTGGACCACCTCTGCCTGTTGTTTAGAGACCAAATTTGTTCAATGCTTAATTAAGGACCTAGGTTGTGCTGACCAGAAACCCAGTCAGATCCAAAGACTGATGCAAGGAGTTTTCTCACAATTATACAGCTCAAGAAACCCATATGTGTTATCTGAAAACGGGCCCTATACTGGTCAATCAATTGCTTTTTCCTAGTTCATTTGATTGAATAAGACCCTTGGGGTTAGTGAGACACCTCTTTTTTTGATTTCAGGGAATTGCATCTGTTTGCTCTTTCCCCTCCCAACTTGAATTCATTCATCCTCTTCCCAACCCAAAAAGTCCCTAATCTTTCCTCCAATTAGAAATCAGCTTATTTAATCTTATATCTTGGTTTATATCCTGTTAATTGTTTCTTTTTAATGCAAAAAAATCTGTCTACCCCTGTATTCAGGGTCCAATACTAGGTTGAAGAGACCTGGCCCTGATCTGGGAAATTGGCATGCATTGCTTAATAAATGAACCTTTTTCCTCAGTCATTTCAATCAATTCACATGTCACACTGATGACCATTGGATATGGGGAGGGTGACTCAGCTACTCCTGGGGGTACAATTGGCACATTTATTCATATCCTCAATTTTGGAATTGTTTCCAGAGTCGTGGGAAATTCAAACACTGTTTTCTCAAGTGCCTCCCCTACCGCCTTCCACTAAAGTCCTAGTAGCTTCCTAAATGCCATATTAAGTCCTGAAGAGTTCATTCAGTACAGTTCTTAGACAACCTCCAAATTATGGTCTCTAGGGAGGGTCCAGGTCTATTATAGATCAGTCTGGATGTCACAATCTACCCCAAGACAAAAGTTATGCAAATTCAACAAATGATAATCTACAGCATTTATTCACATCTGCCTCTAAGTTGTAGTTTGTCCTTCATTCTTGAAGAGGACCATGACAACAGGAAGGTGATGCCATGACTTGCAAGTGAATTGGATTTAAAAGAGGGAGGGCTGTGCAAAGTCACCAGCCTCACTTTCTCCTCCAGAGACATCTGGGCCCAGTGGTAAGATGTAGATCAGAATGACTGGAGATGGCCCTGGATGCAGTGAGAGACTTTGGCCTTTTTAAGCTAAGGTCTTTTCCAGGTCTCAGTTTGTCTGAAGCAAACCCATTCAGTGATCTAGGCTAGGTAAGAAATGAGGCAAAGAGTGACCTCTTTTACCTCGTTAAAAAAAAATCAATCTGGGAGGGGAAGACCCTCAGGGTTTCTGGCCAAAACAGAAACAATTGCTATTTACATTCACTCTGAGCCATCTGAGCCCAAACAGTGATGAGGTGGGTCTTGGGCTGGGACCTATTGTTGGCCAATCAATGAGAGCTAGAATGAATGGGTTTAAGGCAAAGTCCTTAAGAAAGAAATCTATTCTGTAAACCCAAGATATCTTGGGAGGTTTCAGTGATCAAAATTTACCTTCCTTTGGACAGAGCACCCGCAGGCAAGGGTGTTATATCCTATGAGAAGAGAGGGGAGGGGAGGGAGGAGATGAGAATAAAGGGGAGGGGACAGGAGAGGGGAGGAGTGGAAAGAGGAGGAGTGGAGAAGAGAGGAGAGGAGAAAAGAGGGGAGGGGGGAGAAGAGAAGAGGGGAGGAGCTGCATTGCCCAACTGGAACTGGTCAGTTGGGTCCCCAGTAGGGCAGCTCATACCACTCACAGGTTGTTGTTTGTTCTTCATTCTCAGAGAGGATCATGACATCAGGGAGATGATGCCATGACTTGCAAGTAAATTAGATTTAAGTGAGGCAGGGCTGTGCAAAGTCACCAGCCTCACCTTCTCCTCTTGAGCCATCTGGGCCCAGTGGCAAGGTATGCGCTCTAAGTGCTGAACCACAGGGGCCACAGGAAGCCATGGTCCAGGGTCAGTCTGGGCTTCTGCTCACCCAGGGCTCCTCTTCTTCTGCCTCCCTCTTTCCCCCACTTCAAGGATGTCATTCTAATCTAATCCTGAGGATTACAACAGCTGTTAGAGGCCAGGTCTGACTCAGGCACATCTGGGGATTCAGGTTTGGGACTGGAATGACATAAGACTCTAGTAGTACAAAAAAGAGATTGACTTAACCTTAATATCCAAAGGCAATCCAGCAAAGACACAACATTGATTTATTTGGGCACAGGTTCACTGGCCACTATAATTGTCACAGTCACCTGGCTGGCAGGAGCTCCTAACTCCTTGTGAGCTAGTTTTTGTACTAAAGCCACCAGGAAATCTGTCCTCAGACCAAACACTTGACACTTACTAGCTGTGTGACCCTGGGCAAGTCACTTAACCCCAATTGCCTAAAAAAAAAAATAATAAAAGCCACCAGGAAACTACATTAATGGTTAAAGTCTTAGTACTTTGGACCACTACTTCCTAGAGCACCTGTCTTAGAGTCAGGAAGACCTGGGTTCCAATTCTATCTCAGACACTTACCAGCTATGTGACCCTAGTCACCTTTGTCCTCCTCATCTTTTAAAATGAGGGCGTTGGAATGAGGTGACCAATAAGGGCCCATCTAATTCGATGCTGCACAGCCCCAGCCGCAGTCTTGGTGTCCTTTTTTCTCTACAACTCTTAATTCTTTCGTTTCTCAACAACTCCCAGCAGGGGGAAGTTGTTGATTGCCGGCCAATTTCTGTTATTCTGCAGACCTGACATTTCTCTGCTTGAAGGTCTCCCCAGTTTTCTAGCAAATGACCCTTTTTTTCCCAGGAGGTAAGCCCACTTAGTAGGCCAACAGGGAAAGCCTGCTTCAGAATCCCTCCCTTCTTTCCCCACGAAGTTCCCAGACCTCAAAACACCCCAGTGAGCAGAATTCCTCCATTTTTGTGCAGCCTGATTTTATTCTGTGGTTCTCAAAGTCCCCAGGCCATGAAAGATCTCCCAGGGGGTGGAGTAAACTTCTCCCTTTTTCATCTCTTATAAGGTAGCCTCTCCCTATTTCTGTGTTGGCCCCTGGTGGCTTACTATATTTTTCACGGCAGTTAGGTGAGCACTAGGCCTAGAGCCGGGAAGATGGAATTCAAATCCATCCTCATATACTTATTAGCTGTGTGATCTTGGGTAATTCATTTAACCTCTCTTTGTCTCAGTTTCCTCAACTGTAAAATGGGAATAATAATAGCACCTATCTCCCAGAATTGTTGTGAGGATCAAATGAGATAATATTTGTAAAGTGCCTAGCAGAGTGCCTGGCACATAGTAGGTGCTTAAATAAATGTTAGTTTCCTTCCTCCTCCCTCCCTCCCTCCCTCCTTCCTTCCTTCCTTCCTTCCTTCCTTCCTTCCTTCCTTCCTTCCTTCCTCTCTACCTTTAGTGCATGACAATGTATCATCTGCCTCCCATAAGTCTAGATGCTTGGGAGGATCCCTTCAATCTCTCCCAAATTGTCTCTCAGTCCTGTGACAGGCGAAAATAAGAGGTGGGTGAGCGAGGATTCAGGGGCTTTCCAGAGGTCAAACCACTGATGAGTAGTGGAGCTTGGATTTGAACCCAAGTCTTTTGACTCCAAATCCAGGGCCCCTTCCTTTCCACCACACTGCAGGTGGGAAAACAGACAAAGCAACCCAAGATGGGACTTGCCCAGGGTGAGTGAGGAAGAGGTAGAACTGATTAATCGCCATCTTCAGGTACGTAAAGCGTTGCCCCATGAAAGGAGAGATGAGCCTTGTTCTTGGCCCCAGCACACTGTATTGAGAGCAATGGGTAGAGGATGCAGAGCGGCAGATTTAAACTTGAGGTAAGGAAAGGTTGGAAAGGCCATCCCAAAGCGGAAGTGACTGCCTCCGGAGGCAGCGGCTTCCCTTCAAGCCAACGCTGGGTGATCCCTCGAAGGGTACCTAGCAGATACAAGGATTCTTGTTCAGGGACAGGTTGGACCAGGTGGTTTCTGACGTCATCTTTTCCGGCTCCCAGA